CATGCCAATATCTTTAATGGAAGAATTTAATATTTTATTTCTTTAATTAACTAATTCTATTTTGTATTAGAGTTCTATTTTGTTTGAGAGTGCTTATATAAAACTTTGATTAGAAATGTATTTAGCTTGAATACAGAACGAAATATTCTTGTTAAATAATTTTCTGAAAAAAGAAACTAAAGGATACAGAAATAAGATAATCGTACAATTACTTTCGGTGTTCGTCGTTACAAATCGGTCGGTCGATTTTAATCCGTACGTTCGAGCTGAAAATCGGAGACCTACGGACAGTCGGCGATTTATTTATTGGAGAAAGGACTCTGGGGCCGGCTCTCGCTCGTCCTCTCGTTCTCTCGACGCTTCTTCTGTCCTAAGCAGGATTCAATTTGGCCACTGCCCACGGTTCTACCTTCAAAGAGGAATCACCATTGCCTTCGTGTATGGCTGAACGGTCCTCGACGTGCGCGGGACTGGTCGGCGGCCTCTAGCATTAATCTTATATCGAACGCTTTATCCGCGTTCGCTTCCTCGTCCCGCTTCGTCGTCTCCCCAGCCACCGCCCTCTCCATCGTCGACCTCCTCAACCCTTGGACGAGCAGGAATTTTCAATTCTTTCGAGAGAAAAGCAGTTTGCTCGGGGCGTGTTGTTCTTCCGTGCTACTGGCCGGTACCCGGAAGCTGAAATCAGCAAAGGTGGCTCTATCGTCTTTTGTTAGAAAAGGAGGTGGAAATATGTGATTGGATGAAAATATTTTAGACATTGAAATATAATTTTTTCAGAAAAATTTTGAATATTTTATTTTTTAATTTATGTCATTGGTGTGATATACAGTTTAGAGTTTGATGAATATTTGTGTATTTAAACGTTTAATTTTCTGTCTAATATATAAAACTGTTTCCTATTGCAGCATTCCCAATTTTCGATATCCCTGTTTGCGCGACATGCGATTAATCGTACGCAGGAATGATAGAACGTGGAAAACGAGCGACTTCGTCGACGCCGTAAGAACGGAGCTGCTAGCAGGACATTGGCCAGAACGAATAAGTAATGTAGAGGTCCATTATGCCGAAACGGTGAAGGGTCTCCAGTCGGGGTCAGCCAATCCCCTGGAGGGCCGTTAAAGTGAAATACTCCCGAATGCAAGGTGGCTGCCCGTCTTGCCTTCTTCGACGGTCCTGCCATGAGGCTCACCTCATCCCTCTTCTCTGGCAATCCCACCAGACGCACCCTCCTATCCTCCCGAAACCTAACCCGTAGGAGTTCGCCTGTAGGTAAATCGTTGTTATCTGGACAGTGATAAACCCGTGAATGGAGTTCGCGCCGAGTTGGACGAATGGACGAGGGAGAATGCAAAGGATGAAGAGGGGGAAGGTTCTCTGCAAGGCTTACGAGGGGTAGAAGGAGCGAAACGCGGAATGGATGATTCTGTTTATGCGGACTGATTTCTGTTCGGACATAGCTACGACCCTTATTGCGAGAAAGAAAGGAAGGGTACTTTAGGGACGCGTAGATGAGACCGATGAACGAAGCATCAGTCTACAGTCGGAGAGATTAATCATACTTTTTTTTATTTTCTATTTATTCTTTATCAAAGAATTATCCAGATGCGTTTTTCTTTGTATTTTAATTCAAAGAGACATTTGATTTTTGTAGATTCACATAATTGAATTTTCCACAAACTCGCGTGTAATTTTACGTCAAGTAAAACTAGCCCTTTAGGGTGTACTGACTTTGATTGTCTCTGTGGGGTTGAGTAAAATCTGGGAACCATGCAAACACTACGAGATTAAAGAAAGCCTCTATGATTGAATCGTAGCCTCAGGCAAGCTATCCTTGTGACACTGAGGCGACTCTTAATATCTTTCTCTGAAAGTTCGTAACCGACTAATAGATCATTTAATTAAAATTTGATATTATCTTGACATAGAGAGAATGTTGGCTGAACTTAACTATGAAATGTTATAATTATTATTGAAAAAGTTTTAAAATAATGTTACTTTTATATAAGTAATAATTATTGTAGTAAATATAATATCGTGATACGTTGCTACATTTTCGATAAAATATTTTTGCAATTTATCTATTATTTTTAATTATATTTTCTGGAAAAACGAATCTTTTTTGTATTCGTTCATGCGACTCATTGGAAAAGCAGGAATACTGGACAATGGTCGTTCTAGCGGGGTAGATGGAGGTCAGCGGCCATTCTCTGATGATATTGATTAGCCGACGCCCTTAGTTAGCGCCGGCTACACTTTCTTCAGCCCCACCGCTTTTCCCGCCTCTCTTTTTCCTCTCGATAGGAAGAACGTCCTTTCTTTCGCGAAACCACGGGCTCCAGTTACCACCCTCGTTCTATCTTCACCGCTTTCCTGCATTCTGCTGTGAACCACCCGTCACTCCCTATTCTCCTATCGTCTTCTAGTTACTGTATTTCTGTCTCTGGAGTAACGCGTTTCTCCGATTATCGTTAAGAGGTAGAGAGAACGAAGAAAGATTAGTATTCGGTTAGGAGAGAGGGAGTGCAAGAAAAAGCAGAAGAGTAGGGGAGAGAGGTGATGGGGAAAAGCGAGCTAAGTATTTCGGGCTAAATCATTCGTCAAGCAAATAATATCGAGTCTGAGTCACGTCGCACGCATGCGGGGGCGATACGGTATTCGCGTGTTCCATAAATCCGAGATCTCTGCCAGCTACGGGGTGCTCGAAAAGATACGGCATGGATATCCGAGACTTTGCACGCAACATAACATTCGTGAGGCATAATAATAAATTTATTTATGTGTGTGAACGCCGATATAGTTCAAATCCGAAAAGTGGATTTAATAAATTTCTTATGAATAAAATTCTAATAATATTTCATTGATTATTTATATATTAATATTTTAAAAAGATTTTTATATTTAATAGTTGCTAAATGCGAGCACTAATTGTTAAATGAATTATATATTATCGATAGCTTAATAAACATTTCTTATCAATCTCGTGAAATTTTGTCTTTTGATGGCACTGGCAAATATTCGTATGTCACATTTATAGACACTTGAATGCACCCCATACATCGCCCTTACAAATTTGGGAAGGAAGAGCTCGGTATGCCCTCGTGTAATTAGACACTGCAGCCTGGAACAACATCCAGAGTCAGGCATTGTTCCCAGAAATTAAGGGAAATGGGGGAAAACCGGGAAAACTGGTAGGAATAGGGGATTCGGAGGGTCGCTAATTACGACGGTTTCTATCCAGGGGAAAGAAGCCATTTTCTGCACACGCATAACCGCTCCGTGTGCGTTATATTAATACACGCACAGGGCATAGAATTTATCTCGAGAGCCTCTTTTGCAATTTGATCTTTTATCGCTGATATTGCTGTAGCAAGGGAGATCGTATATACTTCTCTCTCGTTTATGAAAGATAGTATGTGTGCGTGTGTAGCATTGATTTCAGTATCAAAAATATTGAGGAAATATTCAATGTTTTGCATTTTATACATATTTATATTTTAAGACGGTAATCATTATTTTAAATTTTGCGATTCTCTATCATTATATTTTTCTAATTTTACATGACTTTACTTTCGTAGGTAAAGTCTGGATAGGCGACAATGATGTCTCGTGGCGAACAGACCAGTCTTTCAAGAGGACATCACCCTTAAATCCCTGTGCCACAACGACTACCACGACAACGACAAGCGGTGGGCCACTGACACATCCCCACCTGTCGCCACCCGTAGCTGCCCCTGTTACCACCCCCGATCACAGAAGCCCCAGTAGCATGCATGCGAAGCTTGGCATCTCACCCAGTAAGTAAAAGCCTAGCGAAACGAATTTCTACATAATATAGAGAAATATTTTGTCTTGCGAGGGCAATGCGAATTACAGAAAAATAAAAATGTTTAATTAAGCATGCAGTATGTGATCGTGCAGCATTAAAAATATTTTTCTTCGTTTCCCTTAATTTTTTGTTTTCGTTTTAATTATATAAACGTCATGTTAATTTCAAAAAAATGTCGAATTTGTAAAACGTGCACCTTCATGATCCATTCATAGATGCGATCTTCAAGTCTTGCTACAAATGCTTTGAAATATTTGATTGATTAGAAAAAAGAATGTTACTAATTTTGATCAATCAAAGAATACTTCAAAGTATTTGTAATATTACATTGATCGTATTCCTTGAGAAATCTAACTTGTGTTATCAGTTTTGACAATCGTGGGTTAGGTTTAAAGTAGTCCTAAAATGAAGCTCTTTAAATAATGCAATAAGCTTGATGTCATTTTGTCGGACAATAGCGGGAGTTTCTTTTGAAAGGTTCAGTAAAATTGCCTTGCAGGTGCTTCACGACAACTGCTCCACCAATCACGACTCGGAAATTCGCGACGCTTGTCGTGCTCTGCTCCTCGTAATTCGCCGACGATAATGATACTAGATTTACAATTTTACATTGAAATAAAGTTACGAGCAATCTGGAATTGTATACAATATTATTGCATTACGTTTAGATATAATAGTTTCGCAATATAAAATATCATTTAAATTTACGCTTGTTCTATTTAAACACTGTATTATATCTCTATGCAATTATTTATAACAAAATCCTGAATGATTACTATTCTTTATATGCAAATTAACTTGAAGTTGATATCTGTATTATTATACAGACATTTCTGATCAATTACGCGAATTTGTATTTAAAGGATGGAAAAGCATCAAATCATTTTTTTCTGAAATATGGAAGAAAATATAGTAATGATAAGTATTATGTATTTAAATAATTTTTTTTACATGTTATACAAAAAATCCTTTAAGGATTTAAAGGATGCACAAGAAATAAAAAGGCAACATTATTCTTATCGTTTTCAAACCAAATAGGAGCATTTAATATTGCAATTGTCGTTTTCTTTATGTCGAGAAATATAAAGGCTGAGATTAAAGGCCGAGAACTAGCGAAACCACGGTGGTTCTTTTCATTTGCCTAAATAAACATAGCTTGGACAATGTGAGGGCGATTGTACTAGGGCCCGAAGTTCATCGGTTATACGATCAGGCCCTAGACGGTCGAAGGGAGCACTTTTCGTTTTTCTAGAAGAAACAGGGGGGATTACGATCTTGCAGGAGGGAGAAGGAAGCACTTGGCGTGGTATGTTTAATGCATCGCTCAACATTTCCATGTCAAACATCGCTTTGACTCGCGGAATTTAAAATCGTCTCGTTGCTGCGCGCACACATATTTGCGATTATGTGTGTGTACGAGAGAGCGATGACGGGGAAACTATTCATCTTTATTTACTGGATAACCGCTGCACTCGACGAGGTGCGCAAAGTCCATGGTGCGGTCGATAAGGGTCGAAGCTTGAACTTAAAAGCTGGGGGTGAAACTGGAGACTGAATGAGATTCCATTTTACAAGGTAAATGACGTTTCGGCGGCGTGTCAGGCTTCATAAGATACGTTTTACAATTTAAAAGGATGTTAAAGCTAAATTTCTTTTCTTTATTACTTTAAAATGTAAAAATAGTAGAAGTAAATTATTTATTATTACTTTATAATCTTAAATTTTTATATAATTTTTTATGTAATTGATGCAGCTATTTTTGAAAGCAAAATAAAAATTTATGAAATTTTGTGAATTTCTCATTGTTAATGAAGATCGAATGAAGATAAAATAACTAATAATTAATATACGAGAGAAAATTTATTTGAAAATATACATACATTGTTGTAAAATTGATTCAATAAAATAACTCATGCAATAATAAAAACAAAAAACAGTTTAAAATCGCGTTTATAAAAATGCCTATAAAAGCGATTAAAAACAATGGTATTGATAATATTTATGATGTTAAGACTTTTATACTAATTCTTTAGATATTATAGATAATCGTAAAATCTTGTTTTGCTGCGAAGTCAAACTTAATGAAGCAGTCTCATTACAACTTACGGTACTTTAAGAAAGGAGCAATTTCTCAGTCAGATTAAACCAAAGGCGATTCCGTTACGAATACATCACTACGTGGCAACGTCTAATTAAATTCTAGTATAACACGAATTCTAGAATACGCATGCATAAGTTATTTATCTGCGAGATAAAACTCAGCAATAGAATTGTTATAATTTCTTTTTATTATATTATGCGGAAATAATTTATTTTCAGAAGCAAGCAATTTATCTTTTTCTATCTTCATATATTATAATTTATAGCAGTCTTTATAGCTTTTATCACAATTGTTATCAGCGTCGAGCATGATGTCGACTTTAAGGAAGAAAAGATATTTCCCCTCCCTAACGTAGAGTTTTTTCCAAAGCTATTTGCCTCGCAAAGCCGCTCTGGCCTAGCTGCCAAGTGTGTTTATTCGGTATATCAATAAGAACGAAGTGGGCGAGAGCGAGGACGTGGTCCCCCGAGATCCTCGTTCTTACGTGGCAGCGATCGGTGGCGGCTCTTTCTGGACAGCTTGATAACATTATGTCGCCTACGTCGACATATGCACTGGCTAGTTTTTAAAGAACGAGGACCGTGAGGGCTCCCTAAAATATTACGGGTTCGTGAACACACTCTCGTAAAGACACATGTGTTACAACGATGTGTCCTTTCGTCTGAAAACGAACCCTTAAGCGTAAGTTTAATACATCTAAAAAAATAGTATCGATTGATAAATCACTCGTTTATATTTACAAGCTGATATCACATTTGTCGGTATCATTCTTTGAAATTTTATTTTATTTTTTTTTTTACTTAATTTTAAGTGCAATGTAATGAAATTTTAATTTATAAAGTAGTGCGCAAATCTTTTTAAAAATATAAAAATTATGATCTACTTGAATATATGACTTAATCAACGAATTTACAATTAAATTACTGAATATATGAAATTAAATACCACAATTATTAAGTCATGAAAGAATCATATAAATGAGATATGTCATATTCAGAATATTTAATTTATTATTATATTATCATTATATTCAGAATATTTATATTCAGATAAATGCAAATATCGAAAAAATTGTCTAAATAGAAAGGGATAAAAAGAAACTAAAAAGCAAGTACCTGTTAGAAAATAATCTTTGAAGTTGTCGTATTGCGTGATGCACTCTATTCTCGCGCAAATTATACTTGTCGTTTACAGAAGGATTCTATTTTGTCGGACTTCAGGAATTGTATTCCTCCCTTGGGACTATCATTCTTCCGTTTGCTTTTTAGATCGCTCTCTTTCCTCCAAAATATGTAAATGCCATATTTATTCGATCAATGAATTATTTTATATCTTTAAATACTATTTGAAGTGCAAAATATTTAAAATGAAAAATCAATCCTCAATTATTGAATATGAATGTTGGATTATATTTATTTTTTCTAAAATAGAGAGAGAGAGAGAGAGAGAGAGAGAGAGAGAGAGAGAGAGAGAGAGAGTAAGCAGTTCTTTCCTTTTTATAAATGTTTGTTAGTCAAAAAACAACGACAAAACGTTTATTCTAAACTTTGTTGAAGCACGCAATATATTCATGATTGAAATTTTTTAGGAATTAATTTTGTTTTTTTGAAAAGCGTCAACCATGATTGCATTTATACCTTCACTTCTCTGCAGAATATAAAATATCGAGTGATGTCCATATGTGGACCAATAACTAAGGCTACGTATCGTTGGTATACGAACGCCATTCGTGTGGAGGTTGGGGACGCGCAGGCGAGAAAGGGTGGCTTGAAATATTGGCTACATAGATTTCAACCATTATTGCCGCGTGTAAAACACGGCGACATTTGGCGTTAAATCGATCAGGACGTGCTATAGCGTCGTATGAGCATCGTTCCTTCTCGCTTGGCGAATAAATACGCCGACCGATTGTAAAATGCAGCATAAACTCTTTTCAACGAGACTGCCCGAGTACATTTTTATTACGTACGATATCTTTACATTTGCAGTTGTTTTAAGTTTTATTGACTCATTTCGAAAAGCTTCTCAGGTGTTACATCATTTATTAAGTCGTATTTTATGTCTTTGTTTAATTTTTTTTTAATTGACAGTTTTTGCATAAAATATTTATTTCAATATAATTAACTATCTGTATTTTTCTGATTAGAATAGACTTAAAAATGATTTTTTTGTATATGTATATATATATA